GGGGAAGTGGGTGGACTATGGCTGCCACTTTCTCTCCAAACATATTTGAAAATCTGCATATTTTTCTGGTAGTGTCAATCCTCCTTTGTTCTTGGAATGGTACTTGTACGTGATGCTGCTGGCATTTGGGAGAAGGGAATGAGAGTATCTCTTGTACTCAACTTACTTCTGGATAGTGCATCAGAAGTCATTATGTTCCCAAATGATGGGCATTTGGAAGGAGGCACTTACAAAGAGCTTTATGAACAGTTTGATCTTTGACTGTCAACTGCAAAGGAGCCATTCTCTAAAATTGGCCCTACTTTTAATGGTTGTTCTTCAATTGTCTCAACTATCATTTCTAGAGTTTGAGTAGGCAACCTTAGTTTCGATATGTGAAATGAGCAATTGCCCCTAAGCCTACAAGAGCAGAAAGTTCCACCTTTGCCTGGAATCTAAAATAACAATTACAAAAGTATTTAACATGTTTGCCTATTGTTGACTGCCTGAATTCTATTTAAATAGCAGAGAGCCATTTGAAGTAAAGGGTTGCTTCCAACCCTCCCACCTGCCTACCTCTTCCCAATCTATGTCCTTTTGTCCCCCTGCTGCCCTACACTGACACCCCAAGTAATCTTTGCGGTCTTCTTGCTCGTGCTGCTGCTGAGATGTGCCTGGTCTAGCCCTTTGCATCAAGAAGCCGCTTTGCACTATGCTGCTGAGCCAAGTTGGGGCTGGGTTTCCTGGCATGCCACTGATCAGAGGCTGTTTATTCTGTATCATGCCAGGAAACCCATCCCCAACCTGGCCCAGCAGTACGGCATAAAGTGATTTCTTCATTCCCAGATCACAATCACATGACCAGGGGGGTGCTGGGATAGCTAGAAGTCCAAGGATCAGTCATAATCACTATTCATTCAGCACCATTATAACTTTCAATAGTTGCTGAATAAACAGCCATAAGTCAAAGATTACTTGTAATGGATTGATATCTTTAGACAGTTGTTACAAAACGAGCAAGCCCTAATCATGTCTCTAGTGCTATTGGCTTAGGCTGGAAGAGACAATGGAATAATGGGTTGGAGCAGCGTTTCTAAGCAACGTAGATCAGGAGCAAGGAGACATTCAGTCACTCAGATTCTTACCCTTGCAGATGCATAGGCTGATCACACAAATGTTACCTTTAATGGAGTACTTATTTCTTCCCCAAGTGTCCCATTCCTTGCCAAGGCCGAATTATTTAAACAGCACATACATCTCTGTATCAAAAGATGAGCATATGAAATGATGCAGCCATCTCCCCGGTTTGCCTTAATCAGTTTGGCTAGTAACCTACTGAGGGCAGAATCAACTGTAGTGTTTTAAGAAAGGAGAAAGAGCAAAGAAAACTAGAAATGTACATCTCAGTTTCTAGGTATGTCCCTTAGCAGACAGTATTGTACTGTGTTTTTAAAAATGTGTATTCCAGGACTACTTTTTATTCTTCAGACCCAACACCTCTGGGTATCTATCTCCAAGGCAACACAGAATAATAATAGTGAATGGTGCCATCATAATACACTTCCTTACTAAAGAGCTCCAGCATAGAGAATGATTTATGGATTCATATGACATCCACAGCTTCACCAAAATACCTCTTGGACACATTTTCACTTTTCAACAGCTTCAAAGAAAATCCTCAGTTCACTGGAGTTACAGAAAGAGCTAAGCCAAAGCACCAGAGGCAAATGAAACTATTAATTAATTCCTAAACTATTCTGACACATTTTTGCTGGCTTCTTTCATTATGGCTGGCACATCTATTATCTTATTCTGAATTGTTGATTTTATGCAAACTACTAACATATTTTCCCATGTTCATCAGAAAAAAATCCTTTACTTTATATGCTTTATTTTAGAATATTAATCCCTCCAAAAAGTCTGCAACCCTTTTGTGTGTAGCTGATATAGGAGATGACCAGGTGGAACCTGAGGGCAGGGTCAAACATGTGATCAGTTTGAAGTTGTTACATTACCACAATACATCCAACTCCAGCCCGCCCCCCATGAATTCTATTGATCCTTATCTAGCACCAATTTGGCTTGTATATTAGTAGATCAGATTCTTGTGTATGGGTAGCATGAAATAAACTTTTAGTGCTTTGAACTCTACTCCAGTTTGTGCACCTGACATTTGATAAAACATTTCACTATCTGTATTCCATATTGTATGTGAATATGCCTCCCATTCTTTAACTGATTTCAATTCTTTTCTGTCTTTATGTGATCAATATGTTGTCAGATTCCATCACTTCATTACCACAACTTCCATAACCGCAACAACCCTTGTCATTTCAATTTATTTGTCTATTCTGGAACTTGATAGGATGTGTTCACACATAAGATTGAATACCAAGTTGTTTTGCTAGTTTCAAATTCTAGCTAATGCTATGTCACAATATAGGATAAAGATGTACAGTACACATGCATATTAGCAAACCCAAGAAAGAGGATGTGTTCTATAAATACAGCCTGTATGTTATCTGAATAACACTTGCAACAGTTGTGAAAAATAGCAGAATTAAGAGGAAATGTATTTCAGCCTGAACCATTAACAGAGAACAAAATGCAATTGGAAGGTTGCCTCCCTTATCTCCTGTATCAAGATGGAAGGCTGTTCTGGTTTAATCCATCAGCCAGAAAACAAACAGATACAGTGATTGTTTTGCCCTTCTTTGCCATTAGAACACTCAGTTCTAACTATCAGTTGCCATAGGACTGAACAATGGAAGGGAAGGAGATATGTGGACAATACAAGAGATAAAATATTAAATTAAAATAAAAACATAATAAAATCATGCCCCAAAGGGGCTTTTTCAAGAGGCAAGTGGACTTTCAGAGTCCAGTTGCTTCTTGAAAAAGCATCTTTGGGACAACCATGATCTGGATGACTGAGAATTTCCATAGACGTAATAAAATCACCATAATATGAAATCAAGGATAGATGGAATCAAGGATACTTTGATATCTAAGGAAGCTAACCATCTAACTGTTTCTGGTGTCACTACAATGAAATCATCCCAGGTGCCTTGAAATTTTCTGAAGAGACATTCTTCAGTTATATGTGTTATAGTTTGTTCCAGATCATTTTTTTGTATCTGCATGATCTGTTTGATTGTGGTTATTAAAAATTGCTCTCCTTAAATGCCATTTTTGATCTAAATTGTAAGACTGTGATATACTATCCCAAATTGGTTTTCTAGACTTAAGCCTAGTGAGAAGTAGATAGAGAATCTAATATTTTATGTAGTGTAAGATCTCTAAGAGTCAATGACATGTGTATCTTATTCCACTCTTGGACTATCTGTTGTTGCCTGAAATCAGGAGGGGCAATGTTAGAAAGAATATGGAGCCATGAGATTCAATGGTTCCAGATATTATTCTCACTGTTTCATTAAGATGAACATCAGTCTTATTGGTATAATAACTTCTTTCCCATACATATATGCAGTATTTGGCAACAGAGTATGTTAATGATTGTGCCACAATACACAGTGCTTTTTCTTGTGCTCTCCAGCTTGTTTCCACAATTTTCCTAATCAAGTTATTCCTGGTTTTCAATTTTTGTCCAATTACTTCAAGATGTTTTCCAAATGTAAGGGATCGGTCAAGGAATATTCTGAGATGGTTTGGATGGTAGTTGTATTTTATCCTCTTTCCAAAAAAATATATGTTTAGCTCTTCCTTTGCTATACGATTGCTTAGATCAGTGGTTCTCAACCTGTGGGTCGGGACCCCATTTGGGGTCAAACGACCATTTCACGGGGGTCGCCAAACAATGCAGTCCGCCATTTTTTTCCCTTTTCCCTAGGTGTCCTACTCCCTCTTATTGGTGGCCACACCCACTTGGGGTCACCACAACATGGAGAACTGTTTTATGGGGTCACGGCATTAGAAAGGTTGAGAACCACTGGCTTAGATGGAAGGTGGTTGTCCTTTCTTTCCAGGGTGGGTTCCACACAAAGAGAAGCTGCTGTAAACAAATTCTACTTCTTGTTTCATTTATCAAAGCTGGTTTCCAAACTTCCATGATTTTTATTAATTTGACTGCAGCTTATAACATGGTGTGGCTTGATGGTTTGATACTCAAGCTGAAGAAAACTATTCTGTCTTCAAGCAACAGGCCTTCTGGAGGATAGGTTAAAAAACTGATACTTCAAGGTCACCGTAGAAGGCACCACTAATAAATCCTTTCCCATTAAGAATGGTTTGCTACAGGGAACAGTTCTAGCCCCACTTCTATTTAATCTATATACTAGTGATTTACCAGAAACCAACTCTGTAAAAATTTGCTATGTCAATGATGTGGCAATAGCTATCCAGGAAGTGGAATACATTCTTTTGAGGAAGCGGAATATATTCTTACTAAGGAAGTGAGGTCACTAAGCCAATATTATGAGAAGTGGAGGCTATGCCCTAACTCAAATAATAAAGGGGCTAGGTTACTGAAACAGAAGTATTACAAATTGGATTTGGAGAATAAGGAAGGTAGCCTAAAATCTTCCTGTAAGTTCAAAATTCAGCTATTTCATCAATACTTGCTTATTAACATTTTGATATATTTGTTTCTGCAAGCCAAATCCAAATTAGAATGTCCTGATTCAATCCTATAGGATTGAATCCTATAGTTTTACAGGAAGAATGAGGACCATCAGAAATTCTTCAAATGCTGATCACTGATTCTTTTTAATTATTTGTAATCTAAACAAATGAAATGGGAATTTGGCACAACAAAAAGCAAAGCATCAACTTCAAGCATTATATGCAGCAAATAAAGGTCCCACTGGAATGTTCATGAGCATCATGTGGGCTGATTCACACCTTTTGATAAATGGTATTTTATGAATTTCTGTATCCATCATTTTGTCAGCGCTCCTAATACATGGATTCAAAATTCTAAGTATACTCCCACTATAACAAGATTTACTGTGTCACTTTTACACAAATAGATTGTAATAGCAAAATGAATCAAGCTCTTTTACCTTAAAAGGGGATTTGTTGGCATTTATTGTTGAATATAAATTGGGAGCTCTAGACTGAGAAAGAATATCCAGGTAAGCGAGGTATTGTTGAGGGGAATTGGCAAACTTCACTTCTTTTTCCAAATTCCTGTCAGGTGCCTGTTTTGAAATCCTATGCGACACAATTAAGGTAAACAATATTATCTACATGCAAAAAATACACAATAGATTAAAAAAAATTTAATTTTTTTTTTTAAAATTAACCTAAAACATTTGAAATATATAACCTGTGTTATAGAGCCGAGGTGGCGCAGCAGTTAGAGTGCAGTACTGCAGGCCACTTTAGCTGACTGTGTTCAGCAGATCAGCGGTTCAAATCTCACCGGCTCAAGGTTGACTCAGCCTTCCATCCTTCCGAGGTAGGTAAAATGAGGACCCAGATTGTTGGGGGCAATGTAAATATATATATACATTGCTTACTGGTGTACACCGCTTAGAGAGTGCTTGCACTTAAAGCGGTATATAAGTCTCATAAATAAATAAATAAATTATACATGATTTATATTTTCATGGAAGAGAAAAGAATAGTGGCAGCATTAAAAAGCAGAAAAATGTCATGGCAAAAAATCATGATATTAACATTAAATCAATTTAATGAGCACATTTAAAAATAATTAGAATAATTTTTTTAAAAAGTTAAATGTTCCCCTCTTGTTAGGAAGTTCTTAAGGGTAGCACTTTACAGTTTGTGATATTTTCTAGGAATGTCTAAAAAGAAAGAGGCTGTGAACGTCTCTCTCTATGTGTGTATACACAGTCTTTATGATGATACTTGAGAGAGAGAGAGAGAGAGATTATAGACATTCATGGATAAGCCAAGAATGTCAGATTCAAAAATACACCCCAAAATTGGATTCTACTTCCCCACAGACTAGCTCAGTGATGGCGAACCTTTTAGAGACTGAGTGCCCAAAAACTGGCCTCGCCCCTGCTCCATCCCCTGCCCTGCCCCTGCCCCACCCTGTCTCCCACCCCACCTGCCTACAGGGCCACTCCCCGCCTTCAGGGCCCGCTGCAGATTGCCCAGGCAGCCCAGCAGCGCCATGGCAGCCACACCCTCTGCCCGCACTATCAATTGTGCGGGATGGGGCATGTGGGCAGAGTCTTGTCTACGCTGCCTGGCTGCCAGGTCCTTGGCTGCGCTGTTCCATGTGGGCCATGCTCGGGGAATCCCTCTTCCAGGGGGGCTGCTGGTGAGGAGGGGGTCATGGGGGAGGTGAGCCTGGGGCAATGGCACGTGTGTCTACAGAGAGAGCTCCGAGTGCCGCCTCTGGCACACGTGCCATAGGTTCGCCACCACTGGACTAGCTCATCTGCAAGTATATACAGTAATATTTTTAAAGTACCCAGAAATACTTATAAATAAATCCAACCATAGGTAAGCCAGCCCTAGAATGTTTAACCAACATTCAGATAAAAATGTGCCATCTATAGGTAAACCAATTGTGCAAATTAAAACTTACAAAAATATCAAAAGACGGCTTTATGAAAGGACAGCCTTGTGGCAGTCAGCCTGTGTTCTTCCTTCCCTATGTTTCCTCCCTTGGGAGTTTAAGGCAATCTGAAGAGCACTGCATCACACCTGGATTCCAATTATAAAAGGAAAAATGCTGAGAGCCCTCAGTGTGCATGGGCAGGTCTGTTGGGGGGATGATTTGTGTTGTGTAGGAGAGCAGAAAGGAAAAATTTGCAGCTGAACAGCTGTTAGCTCAACAAGCAACTGATGGTAATGCAAGAGCAGGCTTGGCCTTCACAAAAGCAGCAATAGAAAAGCTGAAATAAGCCAGGCCCCATCTCACCACTCCACTAGAACAGGAACCCAAAAGCTGATAAAGCAGCTTTCCTTTCCTGTGAAACTGTAAAATCAATGATTCAACAGTAGCTGGCAACAACAAAAGCCCACCTGAAGGTGGCTAAATGGTGGATAAAAAACTGATGTTAACTGAAGTAGCAAAGACTGCTTAAGAATAAGATATACACAGATATACACATAAATATTGGTAAATATATAGGCTAATACTACATAGAATATTTACAACCATCACAGTATCCCCACAATTATGTAATCAAAATTGGGGCACTAAGTAACTGACCTTTATGACAGTTGCAGCACTCCAGGGTCACGTAATTGCCATTTGCAATCTTCCCAGCTAGCCTTCCAATAAAATCAGTGCGGGAAGCCAAATTCACTTAATAATCACATGATTCATTTAAACATGCATTTAACAACCATGGTTAAAAAAAGATACAAAATCAAGTGTGGCTCACTTGCTTAGAAAGAGAAATTCTGGTCCCAACTGTGATCATAAATTGAGGATTACCTGTATTTTCCCTCTGTAATGTTATCCTTATCCATGTTTTCTGTTTTAGCTGATTTAGAACTATATTTTAACTGTAGATCTTATTGTGCACCACCTGGAATCAACAACCCACAATTTGTGTGAGACGGGCAACCATATAGATTTGCATGAAGATATACCTGGTTGAGTCTTCAAGATCTTCAGAGGAGAATGTTTCCAGATGCCAGTCATGGGTCTTAGGGAGATTAGAAAGCTCACGTGCAATAATATGCTGTGTATAATCATCAAGCCATGTAAAGCCTGCAAAATACAGTTGCAAAAATACTGATCCAGAAAGTTTTGGCAAACAAAAAGCAGAAAAAAAAAACACACTAATCTTGCACTACATAAGCAATTAGCACAATGCATTCAATATTGGTAGGCTTTTTTTATAAAAAAAAAATCAATTTCCTATTTGTTTTAGAAGAATAGCGACAGGAATCCTTGTTCCTGCAAATTATTGGGCTAACTGTACTGAAATACTGATGTTTTTAAAATGTTCCCTTCTAAAAAAGATAATGGGTGTTATGATGAGATTTAAAAAGATTATATTTAATGGAATTTTAGTATTTCTTGGTCACAGAGGAACTATAAAGCTGCTTTATTTTCTAATGTGGTTGCTTTTCTTTAGTTACAGAAAAGAACTGAATAACTCAGTAACTGAGCTGGAATGAATTTCAAAGCTGAATAGTGAGATATAATGAAAAGTTATTTCTCAGACCTGTATCTCATTAGCTTCAAAATATATTCCAAAAATATCAACGTTTTATATGATGTTGTTGGAACAAGCTAATCATATCCTTGCATGGATTACACTGATCCACTGAAAACGATAACCATAAGCAGCAGAGTAATCTATCTAGTGATCAATATGTATTTTCTTTACTTTACTTAACAGTTTTAAACCAGGGCAAAATGTCATTGTGAAAGTAAATTCAATGCAGTTATGTATTAATTACATCCCTTACTAATCTCGTGGTAATTATACTTAGAATAATGATGAGATCCCAAGAATAATTACTAGTTTGTAAATGTTATGATTAACATTTTTAGTTCATATAGGATTACCACCTAGAATTATCCATGATTTAATATGTCTATATCATATTATTACCAATATTGATATTCAACTTTCTGATACCTTCTTGTACAATAAAATATTAATCACTGATATTGCAACTGCAGTGTTAATACTTTTTGGTCAATTAACTTGAAGAACAGTTCTATATTTCATAAAAATTATTGATGTATTGGCACTAATCAGTTTTAACAGTACCTGAGAAAGAAAATTCAATTCCATAGGATTTATTTCCATTGGATACAATATAACTTGTGAAACAATAAGTCTAAAACCATCACACGCTTATTAACTGTAAATCCAAACAGTATTATAACAACTGATGTTTTATTTTAGAATTTCAATGGAAAACAAATACAAACAAAAAAATGTCATTTTCACTTTTATTTTGCATTGCAGGTCTGAGTTTACATTAAATATTTAGCCTAAGCTGAAACAATGAAACAAAGACAAAAGGACAATGAGTTGTGAAACAATCTATTTAGATAGAAAACTATATTTTAGACATTCCTAAAGTAGCATCCAAAGAAAACAATATGTCTTGTACAACTTTCTTGTGTTTCTCGCTGATATTATTTTAATACCTGGGCTTTTAAACAGTATTCAGAATCTTTTAATTTGGCAACTATAACATCATTTTCATTTCCAATAGCTCCTTGTCTTTAATTTGTAGAAAATTAAAAAATGGTGGTTAATTGCATTCCAAGGTTTTTGTTTTTATTTCAATATGTACCCTTCCTAGAAAAAAAAAGGCAAAAGTATGGGAAGAGTAGATGAAAGAAAGAATTCTGGAAAGTAGGTAAAAAAGTATGAAAGAGAATTATTTTTTATGTTTGTTATGTGGAGCTTATTTTATCATTGGTCAAACTCAATATGCTAGTTACACTGGAAATGAGCAAGGCCCATCGTATGTGGTATCTTGACTGTGTATCCTAGTGTGGCTTGAAATTCCAAATGTGTTGGTAGGCCACAAAATGTGGCAATGCCTCAACAATTGTGAAAAGGTTTAGAAAGATTTCTGAGAATAGGAAGAAACCAGCTTTGATCAAATACAATACCAATCTACAGTTTAAAGATGTACAAATTATCCCCACCTCTTCCTTTCCCTCATGAAATTTTATTTTTACCTAGCTGTACAGTAGTCCTTGACTTGTGACAACCATTGAGCCCAAAATGTTCATTACTAAACAAGATAGTTGTCAAGTTGCCCCATTTTATGGTCTTTGTTGATACAATTCTTAAGTGATTCACTGCAGATGTTACATTACTAACACGGTTGTTAAGGGAAACTGACTTTGCTTGTCAGAAGGTTGCAAAAGGTTGCAAAAGGTCACCTGAGCCTGGGATACGGAAATCGTCATAAATAAATTCCAGTTGCCAAGTATCCAAATTTGAAGATCACCATGGGAATGCTGCAATAATGGTCATAAAGTGTCAGAGTCACCTTGAAGCTGCTCAGAGTCATCTGAGGGGGAGATGGGTGGCAAACAAATTTAATAAATAAATAAGTCACTTTTTTCAGTGCCTTTGTAATAATGAATGTTACTAAACTAATGGTTGTAAACAGTGGTGGGATTCAAATATGTGAACAACTGATTCTCTGTGTGGATGCCACTTCCAGAAGTCCATTCTGGGCCTGGGCAACAAAAAATTAGCTACTGGTTCTGCCAAAGTAGTGCGAACTGGCTAAATCCCACCACTGGTTGTAAGTCAAGGACTACCTGTAGTTTTTTGCTTGATTTCTAATCAAGTTTGATTTTTATCTTTTGTTCCATCCCAGCATAGGTAGTATTACCCTTCACACCAAATATCTATGGAGATTCTCAGTCATCCAGGTCATGGTTATTCCAAAGAATCTTTTTCATGAGCCAACTGGACTTCTTGTTTGGATGACCAGCTGTCTACAAGGAGTATAAATCCTTCCATTCCCCACCATCCAGTAAGAGCTGAAGAAGCTTCTTGCAGGAGAAGTGAAATGTCTTCAAAGAAAAACAAGAGGTCCAGTTGCCTCATGAAAAAGCATATTTGGGACCTTTGCACCAAAAGAAAAACATCTGAAGATTCATCTTAATCATTGTTTATTGTAATTTTAATTTCAATATTTTACTAACTATACACAGAATTAAAAATCAATGAAAAATAAGTATAAAATATTTCAAAAACTATCCCTCTTTTATAGCTCCACTTTTCAAGATGTGTAGTGAGGGCTAAGCAGATATTTGAGGGAGCGCTTCACTTTGACAAACCCTTCAAAACTACTTCTCAGACATGCATAATTTTAATAGCAAAGAATCCATGTTGCTTCACTTCACTCTGTCCTTAGCCCCTTCTGACATTTACAAAACATCTCTCTTGTCCTCAAGAAGATAAATACCTACTCGGTACAAAGCATCATTCACAAAGATCTATGAGTAGCATTGAAAAACAATCAGCTACATTCTTTAATTTGTTTGTTTTAAGGAGAAGATTTCAACCCAGGATGCTCAATAAAATAGCTTCCACAGGAGCATTAACACCAAGTAAACATCCAGAATCAAAATTAAGTCTGATAAACAATGGCAATTTTACTTGGCAATTTCCCAACCCTTTGTCTCTTCTATCATAGCTAGTGTTTTCTACAACTCAATTACATCAATTTAACACATAAGGTTATACAGGACTGCAGTTTTTCCATGTCACTAATGTAGAAACGTTCTGTAAGACACACTACTAGCAATTAAGAATCTCTGCTGGAGCTCTGCCTTCAGTGTACATCTTCCAACTGAGAATTCCCACCAATGGGCAATGAAAAAACAAGCAGACGCATTAAGGAACTTACTTAAGACAGTGGTTCTGAAAAGCTATTAATTAAAACAGAGAAATACAAACTGAAATATTCTATGATTAAATATTGAAGGAATAACCAAGATATCTACAACTAAAGAGTTTAATGGAAACTTAGAAACTAAAACTTTGATTACAATAGAATCATACCAGGCTTCATAAGGCATGCCAAACAGCCTTTAAAAGTGAGTCTTACTATTTTTTTTTCATACTATTTAGGGTATACAACAGATGCTGATAATAGCCACTTCCTTTTCTTCCTCAGTAGAAGGTGTCATAGTTTAATGTTATAGTTTCCCCTTCCGTTGAAGAAAAAACTTCACTCCTTTTTTTAATAGATAAGAGATAGTGAAAGAGAGAAAGGATCAGTAGATGGACTTGAAGATGGAGTTTTTTAATTTTTGAGAGAGAAGACATGTGGTACCCATTTTGGCTATTAAAATATGCCCTGTCCGAAAAACAAAAACCTCACAAGAAAAAAAACTAGCCTGATTTTTGATAGTTTGGTTTCCTGGAATCCTCAACATGTAAAATGCTGCCACAGGCAGGGGAAATAGGTTGCCAGCAAAGGGAGCTCAGATTTCAAAATGCAGAAGTATGTCTGCAAGGAGGCAGAAAGGTTGCTTTTCCCAGACCTGAATAGAGTCAACCTATTCTCTGAAGCACCAGAAGACAGGGCAGGAAGCAATGGATGGAAACTAGTCAAGGAATCAGTGGAATGACTTGCTTCTAGAAATTTTTGGTGCTCCAACACTGGAGGTTTTCAAGAAGAGATAACAGAATAACAGAGTTGGACGGGACCTTGCACACCTTCTAGTCCAACCCCTTGCTTAAGCAGGAGACCCTATACCATTTCGGACAAATGGTTGTCCAGTCTCTTCTTTAAAACTTCCAGTGTTGGAGCATTCATAACTTCTGGAGGCAGATTGTTCCACTGGTTAATTGTTCTAACTGTCAGGAAGTTTCTCCTTAGTTCTAGATTGCTTCTCTCCTTGATTAGTTTCCACCCGTTGCTTCTTGTCCTGCCTTCAGATGCTTTGGAGAATAGCTTGACTCCCTCTTTTTTGTGGCAGCCCCTGAGATATTGGAAAACTACTGTCATGTCACCCATCGTCCTTCTCTTCATTAAACTAGACATACCAATTCCTGCAATCATTTCATACATTTGTCTGAAATAGTATAGAGCAGTGATGGCGAACCTTTTAAAGACCGAGTGCCCAAAAACTGGCCCCACCCCCCCTCCACCCCCCTGCCCACCCCGCTCTGCCCCCCATCCCCTGCCCCGCCTGCCCACAGGACCACTCACCACCTCGAGGGCCTGCCACAGATTGCCCAGGCAGCCCAGCAATGCTATGGCGGC